AGATGAAAAATATGTAGGAGAGTGGGTGAGCGTGTGTGATGGCGGGCAGGCAGGAGAGGTGTGAGGAAGAGACAGGCTCTGGCCAGGGTAGTAGAGGCAGCTGCAACTCTCACTCCACGTGGGTATCGACCCACCTTCGCTACACCTTAAAGCTGCACCACCCGATGTCCTCAGGCCGGGTCAACGGCTCCACCCATGCCGCCTCTTCTTGTCGTTGATGCCATTTACACGTCACACACAACGTCCATTTGTTGTTGCTAAACTTGTACGTTGTTCACCCTTAATATATGGCAGCAATAGGGGGTAACAAGCTTCTCAGTGAGCCTTTGCGGCTACAACGGACACTGTAACACATCAAAACAAGTCTGCTTCGATTACATGTAAAGTTATATAGGTTGCTCAAATACCTCTCTTAATGGATAGGCCATCTATTTCGATGCCATGAGATGGTATTTCTAGGAGATAGTAAAATATACGGTGTGAAGGCCGCAGACTTCTTATCGCCTGGGTGCCACACTTTCCCAATGTGGGAATCTCTCATACAACCTTAATGCTCACCATCCAGCTGGCTGGTATATTATGGGCCAGGTATATATAACTGTTACGTACCTTGGGCAGCGCCAGGAAGTCACGGCCCTCCCAGATTGTCAGGTGACCGGCTGCAGGAGGTGTCAGGGGAGGCGGGGTCAAGCCTAGCGGCGCTCTGCCCGGCCCAGGCCTTCCCTCACCCACACTACAGGTAATACCTTCCCATTCACCTTCTTACTCTTGTAACGCAGTCAAAATATTATATTTATGTTATCAAACTTTTGTCAGTGTGACTTAATACAGATTTTGGTTAAAAAAGTTCATGGGAGACTTTACTAGGTTGTCAGCATAAGGGTTTCCTTGTCACACCTTGTCACACTGTAAGCAGTGTGTCTCGCTGCTTACTGCTTTATGTTGATGTCAGATCCCAAGAGTCAGGTGCCCCCTCGAGTGACCAGGACCCGGGTGCCTGAGGTGACCCTTGGCACCTTATCCTCAGCCTCTCTCTTCTGCCCTGCCCAGGGCCATCCGGTGCCCCTCTACACGTAAGACGCCTCACCACCTCACTTATGTCGGTTATTTTGCCCCTAGAGTACCTTCTTGCTTAATGATGGGTCACCAGGTGTTGAAATTCACATTATTAGTGCCTATCTGGCAGATAACTTTGATTTTAAGTTTCAGGTGGGCATAAAGTTCTCGTTTATTTCCAGTTATTTTCACAGGAAACATCATGACATTAGCTACTTAAGAGTAAATGGTTCAGGTATCAATATTACTTATAACTCAGCTGCATCATATTATTAATCATCTTAATTAACCATGGAAAGTTGATTCCCCTCGATTCACAGATAACACTTAGGAAATAATTGTCCGATACACCTTAGAACTCAAGTTATCCACCAGACATCGTAAGACTTGTGAACACGTGAGTGGAATACACAAGCTGGAGTGGACATGGCACTCAGCTACGTCGGTGACGTCACGTCGCTGACGACAGTGCCACACATTTTCTTTATTTTATATTATTGTAAAAGTTTCTTAGTATTTACGATACAGGTTAAAAGATCGTCACAGATACACAATACAAGCACATGTGACACCGTGGTATTTAGGTAAGGGCACAAGTTGCATTACACTATTTGAATACATGCCTTCGGGGCACTGCTCTTGTATTTGGATACATGGCTATATGGCACGGCTCTTGTATTTGGATACATGGCTATATGGCACGGCTCTTGTATTTGGATACATGGCTATATGGCACGGCTCTTGTATTTGGATACATGGCTATATGACACGGCTCTTGTATTTGGATACATGCCTGTGACACTGCCCCTATTTGGATATAGGCATATTGGGAGCTGCTTTATTTGTATAGAGCCTCATTAGACGTTCCGTTATTTGAATACAAACAAATGAAGCTATTTGGATTTAAACCTACCTTGGAGCCGGTGGCTGAATAGACAGAACACTGGACGCGTGATCCTGTGGTCCCGGGTTCGATCCCGGGCGCTAGCGAGAAACAATGAGCAAAGTTTCTTTCACCCTGATGCCCTGTTACCTAGCAGTAAATAGGTACCTGGGAGTTAGTCAGCTGTCACGGGCTGCTTCCTGGGGGTGGAGGCCAGGTCAAAGACTGGGCAGCAGGGACACTAAGGCCCGGAAATCATCTCAAGGTGACCTCAAGAAGATACCCGGGTACCACAATTTGTATACAATTTAACCTAACGCAGTCAATCTGAAATTGCTAAACCACGTTGGCGAGTGGTATGACGTCATTGATGATGTGAGCAACTGCTGTGTACATATATTAACGTGTTTATAGTATAGAGAAAATGTAAACTTCAGAAGTCGACAATTTTTCATCCTTGTCAGGAAATATAAGAAATATTGTGCCTAAAGGGTGGCAAACGTTTTACAGTAAAGTAGACAAGTCATTCCATGAATTGTCCACTACAACTCTCCTTCACAACCACCACCTCCTCCCTCCCCCCCCTCCCTCGCCCCCCCCCCCCCCTTTTCTCTCTCTCTCTCTCTCTCTCTCTCTCTCTCTCTCTCTCTCTCTCTCTCTCTCTCTCTCTCTCTCTCTCTCTCTCTCTCTCTCTCTCTCTCTCTTTCTCTCACTCTTTCTCTCTCTTTCTCTCTCTTTCTCTCTCTTTCTCTCTTTCTCTCTCTTTCTCTCTCTCTCTCTCTCTCTCTCTCTCTCTCTCTCTCTCTCTCTCTCTCTCTCTCTCTCTCTCTCTCTCTCTCTCTCTCTCTCTCTCTCTCTCTCTCTTTCTCTCTCTTTCTCTCTCTTTCTCTCTCTTTCTCTCTCTTTCTCTCTCTCACTCTCTCTCTCTCTCTCTCTCTCTCTCTCTCTCTCTCTCTCTCTCTCTCTCTCTCTCTCTCTCATGAAAACTCAGTTTAGCATGTACTGTGTAATTTGTGATACCTTGATAATAAATAAATACAATTTGTGTTGATCATAGAGACATTTCTGTTGAATTTAGCCAGACTTCACTTGTATGGGATTTTTTTTTCAAATTTTTAGCATTCAGGCTCTGTTATACAGTACAAATATACAATTTGGCCAGTGAGAACTGATTTCTCTCAACACCACTGCAGAGCCCAAGAGCCAGGTACCCCCAAGAGTTACAGGGAGTCGCCTTTCTGAGATGACCCTAGGGTCATCGTCAGCAGTAGCCTTGTTTTGCCCTGCCCAGGCACACCCTTTACCTGCCTCCATGTAAGATAATTATATACCAATCCATCCTCTAATAATGATAGTACTTATTGCAGCTATTTGGTAAAATGTAAGAAGATGGACTGCTTGAACCAAACTCATTCATGTTTTGTACTGTTGGATTTGCTCAAATGGCATGCTTAAAAATAAAAGTATCCAAAGAACCTATCTAAGGCCTATATAAGATAGCACAAATTAGACTTATTATATGCTATCTTAGGCCTAATGGTCTTTTTTGTTTTGGTAGGGACGCGGGTCTTATTTTCCTCGGCGTCACCCCTTTTATATGAAAGGAACCCTCGGAAATGCATCCGAGGTGCCGTGTGGCTTGTCGCCTCCTCGTTGGTGGAGAGAGGCGAGACCACAGTGTTTTTGTTCAGTCTTCCCATGACATGGAAGAAAGTTGGTGCTCTGTTCCCATGCACACAAACCGATCGATAGCTGACTCGATGTGCAGTCATAGGCTGGAGAAGTGATCGCACGGAGATCGGAGAAATGGTCGTTACACAATACAGAGGCGCTGCTTTGAAGGCCTCTCTTAGGCCTAATGTATGCTTATCTTAGCCTAATGTATGCTATCTTAGGCCTAATTTATTATATATTTGTGTTGTACTAGTCCTAGGAAAGTTTAGGTTTTATTTTTTTATGGGGGGGCTCTTTAAAATTAATAATATAATGCATAATATGAACCTTGTGGGCTGCAACAGTACATTTTTGTACTTTTGAACAAATAGCTGCTACAAGTATTGTAGTTTTTTTAGTATGGTTTTAATATACTGTGCTGTACATGACATTTGTATTCATGTATACAGAACATTTCATACTATTGTACACTGTATTATAATTGCAGTTTACAGTATAGATCATTGTTAGTATACTGGAATTACTCCTGTACCTTGGTGGCCATAATTGAGAATTTTTCTTTTAAAGACATCGCCTAAGATATGACTGTGTAATGTTTTTATAATTACGTGTACTGTATATAGAAATCAACGGTCGTTATGGGTCCCTACCAACAACATCGGCAAAGTGATTAATACGATAGCTTAGACCAGTGACACATCTGGTGTTGTATTCTAGCTCCAGCTGGTAATATTTCACCACGACTGACTGGTAGTGACTTGTCAAGGGTCACAGGTTATCAGAGCAGTGCCCTGACCCTTTTGTGCCCTCTGCAGGCCTACCCAGTGCCCTCCACTTGGTAGGTCAAAGTTTCAAGTTATGTGGATTCTCTGTACTGGGGCACCATTCAGCAACTAATGCAGTACTCTGATGCCTTTTTTTCAGCTCCATTGTGTTATCATAAACTTTTAGTAATGAAGACATGCTTTACATCTTAATTTTTAGTACAATACATAATGATTTTTTTTTATATGTTGTATTTCTTTATTTATTCACTGTCTTTGAGTATTTAGCTTTGACACATAATGTAAAAATTAATTATAAATATATTTTTGTAGCAAACTCTTTGAAATTTTATTTTGTACAGTAAAGTACTTTGATGATCAGTAACTATTCTGTTATATATTTAAATTTTGAGTTGTTTATTTTCAATTATGAAATTTGTTTCATTTTTTCAATACAAATAGAAATTATAAACTTTAATTATTCATGTTTCTTCACCATGACAATCAAAATTATTACAGTAGCATAACATTTTAATTTTGCAAACTGTATTCCAAAAGTATATTTCAAATAAAAATTCGTAAATAGGCCATATAAAATTACTAAACTAAACTGTCATTTACAGGTGGTTCAAGTTCTCGGAAAATGCACGCAAATCTCCAGTTGAGTTGGGTGACCGAGTGAAGCAGGTTGGAGGAACTCTAATTATTCGTGAAGCTAAGGTGGATGACTCTGGCAAATATCTGTGTGTTGTCAACAACTCAGTTGGAGGTGAAAGTGTCGAGACTGTTTTAACTGTTACCGGTAAGCATTTGTGCCATTATGTTATTCTAGGGTATGCTCTTATCTATTACTGTATGTCCAGTTCCTGCTATTGTAGACATCTCTGGTAGGGAGATTATCCTTACTATATACAATTCCTATTAAGTGTACATATCACTGGCAGAGAGTATAACTTTATTTCTGAGCTATCTCATTTTACTGCTCCCTAATGCTCTTTCCTCTGTAACCATTAGATAAGAACATGCACAATCGGGTGGGTTGATATACTTGACTGGTACCATAAAGATCTTTTTCAACCTTGCTCTGCAATATCATTAAGGTGCTAAAGAATCCTGGAGGTAATTCAATCCATTTTAGACTGAACAGCAGTTCTGGTTTACTGCCAGTTGGCCTGGTTTGATACCTTTACTGACTGACAGCAAATGGCAGCACCACACACATTTAGTTTCTTACTCTTGAAGCTCCTTACATATTTCATAACTATATATCACAATGCACAATGGAGGAGTGCAGGATTAAGTTCTGTGATTTTGAAGATCAACCTTATTGTCTCTTAAAATCCTCCTTTATCATCCCCCTCTGCAGTAGGATGCATATTTTTTCCCCTCCCATTTTTCCCAGTGTCCTTTGTTTACAATATCTATGTGTCAGGAATTTTGCAAGATGTCTTGCTGTGGGGGGTAACGCTATTGTGTATGTGGTGCTGCTATTTGGTGGCAGCCATGGTATGGGTACTGGGCGAGCCAACTGGTTGTTAACTAGAGAACTGCATGGCAGTCTCTCTGATGCCAAGAAGGGTTTGGAAGGGCAGAGTTTATTTTAATCATGCATTCAAGAGGTAACTCAAGCTGGATTTATTCTTCTGTACTCCCTAATACCATTACGACCTTGCATGGACAACTTAAAAAATTCCATGTGGTATTAGTACCAGAATATCACTTTTCCCTTTCTTATTAATGTCATGTTAACATTTTAATGAAACAGTTGCAGCTTACTCTAGGGAGCATCTGAGTGGCCTGCTTAAAAAGGCACCTTACATATTTACTCAAAACATTGTTTTATTATTATTGTAGTATTTTTAATATTTTGCCAATAAAAACAAATTAGGTTTGCCTACTACATGTGCATATATATGTCCACAATTCGCCTAACTATTGGTGTAAGTGGTGTAAGTATTCTTAATATTCTAGAATTACCTCAGTTATCCAAGTAAGTGGGTTCACAGATCCAATGAAACAGCTGATTTAATGAGTGTATTTTGGTGTATATAATTTATTTATTATAAATTTATTGGTGTATATAATGACCTGAGTTTTGTCAATGCAGTGAAATAAATCCAATCGTGTATTGGTTTGCCCACTCCACTTGCTTGGGTATTTGAGAGTTACTACAGTATAGTATTGTATATGAAATGTTTACAATGTAAATAGATTGCATACATGAATGTATACAGTATATATATAATGTACTATTATTTACTTCTTTGCAGCACCCTTGAGTGCTCAGGTGGAACCAAATGTACAGACTGTTGAATTTGGTCGACCTGCTACCTTCACCTGTACCTACAAGGGTAACCCCGTCAAGTCTGTTGCCTGGCTCAAAGATGGCGTTCCAATCAGTAAGTTAAATTTTTTTTTACTCTATCATTTTTTACCTATGTACATTATTGTTGTCTTTACTATTTATAGCAGAATGAATTATTTACACAAGTACTACTCTCTTGTAAGGCCTTTCATTTTCCTCTTATAGCTTCTCTTTGTGTATGGTGTTAATGTGTTGTATTTATGTGCACAGGCATTTGTTTTTAGTCATTAGATCATATTATAAAAGGGTTATGTATGACATGGTAAATTCATTGAGATTGAGACAAGACTCTTATTATATTTTTAATTAGTAAATACAGTACAATATCTAAAACTGGTAGGTAACTAGAAAGTCCAGTCTTTCAACTTGGGAGATTTCAGACAGATATGAAAAACTTGATAAGAGCCATTAAAATAGGTTAATACAGTACTAGTACTGTAATTCAACCCAAAATCTCGCCTAATACTTCACATTTTAGGGTCTCGGTAGTACAGTCGGGTTCATTCTCGATGAACAATTGAGAATTCAGGGTTGGAAACCCGGGCGGGACAGAAATGGTTGGGCACATTTCCTTTCATCTAATGCCTCTGTTCACCTAGCAGTGAGTAGGTACTTGGGAGTTAGTCAGCTCGTTGTGGGGTTGCATCCTGGGCGGAGTCAGTAATTCGGCCTTGGGTGGGGGGGGGACCTTGATAAAAAGCCAAACGTGTATGAATACACTCTGGCTTCTTGCTCTCGACACAATGAATTATTATTATTATTATTTGGGGGGGGGGGGGACCTACCAAGCTGTTAAAAATGCAATGTATTAGTAAAAATTTCAGCTCTGAAATATTGATGTTTTACTGAGCATCGGCCTCGACAGGTTGGGTGGGTTGCTTGGGTTCAAATGCTTCTTGAAAGGTAAAACAATTGGATTTTTTGTTGGAACTCTAAATTGAGAGAATGGGCTAAATAATTACTGTATGCACTGTAGAATACTGTACTCTCTCTACCCTCACTTTGTCTCATGCTTAGTTGATATCCCTCCTTACTCTAAATGGTAGTAGTAGTGGTTAACAAAGTGATTACTTTGGTAGACAACTACCAAAAAACATGTCTTAAATTTTTTTCACCACATCTGGCTTATCCTTATACCTTAAAACTCATTTTCAAAAGGTAGCAGGGCCATACCTGAGTGAATGAAAACTTTGCCATGTCAAAATTAAAACAAACCATAGAATTTGGTTTTAACTATCCTCAACAGTTTTCTTACAGCTACATCTGTTTCTTGTAATATTAAGTTCATCTACAAAAGTCATCAGAAACATGATTGGAGCCATATTAAGAATTACCATTCATATCCTAATCTTTCCCATGCTTTATGGGCTGTTTTCACGGAGCAAAATGTTGATTTCAGCATATGAAAGGCATATTTCCAATGCCCAAGCTTTGGAACCTCATTTGCAAGAGAAAAAGGGCCCATGTTTGTGAAATAAAACCAGAGAATCTCAAAATGAACATGAAACATGGAATTTGGTGCAGGCGATGAGTCACAATAACGTGGCTGAAGTATGTTGACCAGACCACACACTAGAAATTGAAGGAACGACGACGTTTCGGTCCGTCCTGGACCATTCTCAAGTCGATTGTGGTCCAGAATGTCTTAGAATGGTCCAGGACGGACCGAAACGTCGTCGTTCCTTCAATTTCTAGTGTGTGGTCTGGTCAACATGGAATTTGGTTTTAAATATGCTCAATGGCTTTACTAAGGCCCCTTACTATTACTTATAATATTGTACCCATTTACAAAAATCATTAAAAATGTGATTGGAGCCATATTAAGAGAGTTAATATTCATACCTAATATTTTCCACTCTCCGAGCTGATTTCTCTAAGCAAAATTATAATTTCAGCCTGTCGTATGAATGGCAACAACCAAGAAAACCTGTCTGTAAAGAGATGTAATCACTCTAGCATGTTTTCCATGCCCAAGTTTTGAAATCTCATTTTGAAAAGGAAAAAGGGTCTATATTTTCCTGAACTAAAACCTCTGCAACTAGAAATAAAAATGAACCATAGAATTTGGTTTTATTCACTGTCTTTCCCAAGGCCCCACCTATTTTTTGTAATATTGCCTCCATCTGTGAATTCAGTCCTAACATCCTAAACAAATCCCACATTCCCTGCTTCTTGTTCATTGAATTGGGCGAGTAAATCTGGCATGAAAAGTGTGTGTTCGAACTGGAGATTCACAGAATTGAGGTTTGTTGAATACCTGGAGCATATCTGTATAGGTTTCTGGTAGTTGTTCTACTCCCCGAGCCCTGTCTGAGGCCAGAATCGAGGTTCCACTTACAGTAAATAAATAATTTTAAGTTCATGGCTATTTTGTACCTAATTCTCTATTTGAAGGAAGTTTGTGCTTGATCTTCCTCATGATAGGCTACTTTGTACATGATCTTCCTTTTGATGGGCTACTTTGTCTTTGATTTTCCATATGAAGTATTATTTTGGGCTTGATCCTTCTCATTTCTTGAAAGAGAAAAAAAAAGAGGTAAAAATATTACATATAATATTTTGCTTGTATAAATAAAACAGTATGTCTATATTGACATTAAAAAAAATTTCAGATCACAAAGAGGCAGTATTGCGTATTGACACTGTGAGTCGAGAGGACAAGGGCATGTACCAGTGTTTTGTGAGGAATGATCAGGAGTCTGCACAGGCCACAGCTGAACTAAAACTTGGAGGACGCTGTAAGTATACAACTGATGCCGATTCATCAACATTGTTATGTTTCATAATTTTGCTATGAACAAAATGTTATTTGATATTTCAGCTTTTAATAGAGGCTAGTAATAATCCATAGAACTTTGCCAATGATTAAGTCATTTTATTTTTTACCAGTCGAACCCCCACAACTGACATACACTTTTGAGACATCAACCCTGCAGCCTGGCCCCTCAGTGTTCCTTAAGTGTGTGGCAGCTGGCAACCCTACTCCTGAAATTACTTGGGAACTTGATGGCACCCGACTCTCAAACTCTGAAAGGTAATTATTTTTCAGTAGTATTTACTCGTTTTTGTTGTGGTGACAATTTCCAGATTTGGTTTCATTGATGTAATACTTTACACAAGGGTTGATCATGAATACAGATTTAATAAATTCAGTGCTGCTTGAATGTGATATGATAGTGCATATATGATATGGAACAACAATGGGGTCTCTATAATTTATCAAGGTTTGATTCCATTTTATATATTTACATCATATAATTTAACTAAAGTGTTGATCTCTGTGATTACAGTCAAATTTGTTAATTTGTAATACATTTTGTTTTTTATTTTTTGAAGGATGCAAGTTGGCCAGTATGTGACTGTTAATGGAGAAGTTGTGTCCCACTTGAACATCTCTGCAGTTCACACAAATGACGGTGGTCTTTACGCTTGTGTTGCTTCTTCTACCGTAGGCTCAGTCAAACATGCAGCAAGGCTCAACGTGTACGGATTACCTTACATTAGGTATGATCAGAGGTTTTAATGTGTTAATATAGTTTTCTTACGATATTGGCAGTTTCTACAGTATACAATAGTAAAAATGAATGAAAACATATGGATTAATTTTGTTTTATTGTTTAGTGAACAAAACTAAAAAACATATAAACATATAAAACTAAAAGGCTAAGCAGTGCAGAGGGAAAAAAGAATTTTTTTAATGCTATGGAAACGTCAAGGGTATTTATGGTGATTAGAGGGAACAGAGAGCATGTAGGAGAGAAAACAAAGGTACTACAGTGATGAAATTAGGAAAATATAGCAGAAAAGGTAACTGGAGATGTAAATATAAGAATTGGTCTAAAAGAATGTGGAGGATAAAGTGCATGCATAGAGTGACTGGCATGGAGATTGCTCTCTCTCTCTGGGCCATCCCATGAGATGAATTCCCAGAGGTAGTACTGTATAGTAATATAAAAATAGGTAGAGAGATTGATATAGTAGAATTTTGTAATAAGAGACTTACAATTTCCAGTTCCGTGATTTTTTCTATACTGGTTTTGTTATTAGTACAGTATTATATAATATAAATGCTTTATATCTTAGTTTCATATACACAGTAATATATTTATAAATTTGGGCAAAAAATCCACAAGATTTTCAGTTATATATTTGTTTATGTTTTTTAATGGGCTCTTCCTTTTACATATGCTAGTTCCTTCAGTTGATAAAGGTCTCATGTCATTTAGTTTATTACATTAGTAAAAGACAGTTACACCACTTTCATGAATTCCAAATACACTGTACTATGCATATTTTCTTAGCTTAATTTTTACTGTTGCTGTTATTCTTATTTAAAGAATAAATGTTGCAATCTATCATTCAAAAATTATAGTACTTAAAGCATTGGCTTCATATTGATGGAATGTAAAAAAAAGGGCTGTTACACCTAAATTATACCATGTTTTGTAGGGGGGCATGAGACAGACGGCAACCAAATCTAAATATTCCTAGGCCTAGTATAGCATATATATGTACTAAATTAGGTCTAAAATGGCATATATTAGGCCTAGGGTTGCTTATTTAGGCCTAGTACAGGTTAGGTTAGGTTATATAGTAACTGTTTTACTCTCTGGCATGTCAGTTGGAGTATTTCAGTATTACAAAACATGAACTTTTTAAGGTACAACAATCTATTTTTGTATGTTTGATCATTAGTTGCTGTTAGTACTATTTTTGGAGGAAAGGTTGAATATTGATGTATATGCATCCTTAATTATTACAGGTTAATTTAATTACTTACATAAGAATGAGCGAACAAACTTGATTAAGAAAAATGAATTAGTAGGCAGATTTTAGGGAATTAATTATTGTGTGATCAGTCAAGCCTGGACCCAGGCCGAACTCGAGAGTAGAACTCGGAGAACCCTCTTCAGGTATGCTTCAGTGTAATCTCATTTGTTAACAATTTATTCTCACTTCTATTGCCAGATATATTTTATATGATCCACTTTTACCCACAGGCCCATGGACAAGGTTGCTGTTGTAGCTGGGGAGAACATGGTTGTCCACTGCCCCGTTGCTGGTTACCCCATTGATTCTATTGTTTGGGAGAAGAGTGAGTTATCATAATATTTAATTATAAAATGAGATTTTGTAAATGAATTGGTATGTTTTGAATATTATCCTATGGTAACTTTATTGAAAAGATGTTATTGAATTGTTTTTAGTTTTAATTATTTATTATTTAATTATTAAAATTACTTTCTTAGCTAATTATTTTGTTTTTAGCTTTTTCTATGTTGTAATGTTGGTTGTCCATCCAGATGGCCGCATGCTTCCCATTAACCGTCGTCAGAAGACCTTCACCAATGGCACACTCATTGTTGAAGCTGTTGAACGCAATTCTGATCAAGGAAGGTACACTTGTGTTGCTCGCAATAGTCAAGGATATACTGCTCGTGGTGATCTTGATGTCCAAGTTATGGGTGAGTGTTATGTGTTTCTGTTTAATTTTGTAAACCTAAATGATTGGTGAACTTAAAGGTATTGCCAGACAGTAAAGTAACTCGTATTCACATCAATGAATCATTCAGTTAGTCATAATTGCCCTTAATTTTGATATAATCTCCTTGGTAGTAAACAATGGAGGTAGATATTTTAAATGATCTGATGTAAACTATCCAAGATGTCCCCGTGAGGGGAATATTTTGGACACAAGGAGAGGATCATTTGGACCCCAATAATAAACAATTATTTATATTAGCCTCCACTTTATTAAAAATACATCCATACTGTTCTTCCTAAGTACAATATAAATTTAAGAAGATATTTAAGAAAAAAATAATATTGATTCTCAAAATCGTACATTTATAGTATAGCGTAATACCAATAAAGCATTACTGATTCTGTACTGTAATTACATTTATATTGCTCGATTACCTTTGATAGATCACCAATCATTATTTTTTAGCCTTTTATATAAATTAAATTTAGAGATGGTTAGGTGATAGAAAAAAGTGAAGATAATAGAAATAATGCATGTATTTAATGTGATCTTAAATATATCTTGAGAATATTTTCTTATATTGTGAACTCAAAAATAAATGTATTTAAAAATATAATTATGCACTTACAGTATGAGGACATTGCATTAATAAATTTGAAGACAATACTTAGTGAGTGCAGGTAGAGATAGGAATTCAATATGTAAGATGCCTTAACAAACTTGCTTTTCAGTAAAGTTTTATGTCATTGTTTAATGACATTTATAAGTGTATAAATAATAGTAATCAAGGTAAGGAGTTACTGTATCTATGAATAATTTTTATATGATATTAAGCTTATTTATCTTAAGTAACCATACAGCCTTTTTATTTCAACTGCAAATTTGGTATATTAAAAATCTGTGATTGGTGGCTCACAGAACCCCCACAGATCTACCCTTTTGTGATTCCTGGTGAACCTGATGTAGGATCAGAATTTTTGGTGCAGTGCATAGTTGTGGCTGGGGATTCTCCCATTGACCTCATCTGGTATAAGGACAGTCAACCCATCATTCCTGCAAGGATGGATTCAAGTCCCCATGACCTGTGGCATACCCCAGGCGATCGCCGTGAGCGTAGACATCCCATAGAGGACACTTGTGGACCTTTTTCTATGACTGATAATGTGACTTCTGAGCTTGATGGTCCTGGTGAAGCCATGAATGTAGGGAGTGGGCAGGATGGAGTGGATCCTCGAGTGGTCGTGAACCAGTTAGGTGACCGGTACTCGGAGCTAAGGTTCACAGCACTCTGTCCACACCACTCGGGAAACTACACCTGTGTGGCAGTGAACATGGTGGGCTCGGCTACCTATTCTGATGCTTTGATTGTTCGGGGTAATTCAAACGGAAGTTATGTTCATAATGCTGACTTGTTATTGGTTCAATAAGTATCACATGTTGATACTTTTGCCATACTACTTTCATTTCTGCTGCTCCAGTTGCTTTTGCACGTCAAGAAGATATCTCATGCTGTGAGGTGTAAAACTAACCATTGTTTTGCAAGTTTGGTTAAGTGAACCAAAGCAAAATCCTTGACCTTTGAAAAAAGGTCTATGAAAAATTTAAAAAATAGAAGTGATTTTGTTATAAAAACAGCATGAAAGAGAATGACATGCAGATATAAGACAAAATGACAACAAATTTAAATAACTGAAAACGGGGCTTATCAGTGCATTTTGGAAAATTCCCTCATGGGAATAAGTATTTATCTTACTGAATCTTTATTCATTACTGTACTACATCATCCTTGTAGCATTTTGATATTTAATGAAATATCTTAAAACCAGCATCATGTTCTGAATACTTAAGTTGCCAACAGTCCAAAATGCATGGGCCAAGTTTATAGTAAAGGATAAACAGTGTTTTGTTTGTTTGTTTGTTTTTAAAATTCTTCATGAATCTGTCCTAATTTTCTCATTTTTTTATTTTTTTTAATGAAAATACAGTACCTACCAAAAAGTTATAATTTTTTTATTATATATGTTATGGGGCACATAATTTTATAAAAAAAATGTGCTTGATATTATTTTCGGTAAATTTTTTTCCTGGCATATTCAAGAAAGTGGGTGTAAGGACTGCAATTATTTGAGATTTGTTGTATGATCAGCTTCATCCGATATTTGTTCTTCATCCGAGATTAGTTTTGGTGGCTGATGGGTTCCCAGACTTTTTTGTGTTGAGCAGCAAATTGAATTTACTGAAGTGAATTCAGTAATTCAGCAGCTGACATTAATGTTTCTGATAATTTGCAATGAAGAAGGATTAATTTTTAACCTTGGTTAGACATAATTTGTAAATACCTTTTTCAGTAATGCAGCTTCCTTCATTATTTTTTTGTTTTAGTTCATCAGTTGCATATATGAATGTAGCATTTTATTAATCTTAAACAAAGTTTAATTAATTAAGTTGAATCTCTCTTATTTTTGGGGGAGTATGGAAAATTGCTTGTCAGGTGGTGTGTTGAGAAATAATCATAAATCTTCCATTTCCTATATATCAACAATTTCAGAGCTTCCACATATCCTACCAATAACTCCAGAATCTGAGGTATTTGAGGGATATATCTTCCAAATAACTTGTGTGGCACAGTCTGACCCGCCACCTTCCATCACCTGGCTTAAAGATGGTTCACTTCTTAGTGACACATCTGTGTCTGTGAGTTATCCCTCACCTATGATGTCACTTCTCATCATTCCTCAATCCCATCGAAACCATGCTGGGGAGTACACTTGCGTGGCTGCAAATCCTGCTGGACAAGCCTCCCAGACTGTTAAACTTAAAGTTAAAGGTCTTTGATTCTTATGATTTTTGACAATTGACTTCCTATCAGTATTTTTCCTCTCATATTTTAAATTAACTTCTACATACATTCATACCCTGGTAAATATACTGTATGTATGTGTGTATGTATATCTATATATATATATATATATATATATATATATATATATATATATATATATATATATATATACATACATACATACATACATACATACATACATACATACATACATACATACATACATACATACATACATACATACATACATACTTTAATTACAATCATTACCTCTGTGGTTTCCTATCAAATAATGAGTTGGATGAAACATATTGACATGTTTCTCAAGTTTTGACATTCCTACTGTTCTTTCGAGGTTATATGATTTGTGTATTGTGCTTTCTTGTTTACCCTGTCTTTACAGATCTCTCAGTTTTCTCCTGTCCTTGCACATACTTGCCGAGGTAACCCACATTCTTTCACAAAGTGCTCTTAGGGAATGGAACATTACTCCATAGTATAAAAAGAGATATAGTGTTTCAATTATTTGATAACCTAAACAAGTGAACTTCTTTGGAAAATGCTACTATAGTTGTCTACCCGTTGTTGGTTTTGGGGATTATTGTCCCCGCAGCCCAGTCACTGACCAGGCCTCCTGGTTGGCAATCTTGTCAACCAGGTTGTTGGCCTGTAAAATCAAATTGTATTGAAATGGCAGATAGATCCACAAGGTAGCCACAAGGTAAGGTAGCTAAAATGTAAGAAAAAGGCAGAGGTTGGGAAATGTGTGAGGAAGACAGGTTGGGAAATGTGTGAGGAAGACTGAGATTGAGAAATGTGTGAGGAAGACTGAGATTGGGAAATGTGTGAGGAAGACTGAGATTGGGAAATGTATGAGGAAGACTGAGATTGGGAAATGTGTGAGGAAGACTGAGATTGGGAAATGTGTGAGGAAGACTGAGATTGGGAAATGTGTGAGGAAGACTGAGATTGGGAAATGTGTGAGGAAGACTGAGATTGGGAAGTGTGTGAGAAAGAATGAGGTTGGGAAATGTGTGAGGAAGAATGAGGTTGGGAAATGTGTGAGGAAGACAGGTTAGGAAATGTGTGAGGAAGACTGAGGTTGGGAAATGTGTGAGGAAGACTGTGGTTAGGAAAAGTGTAAGAAAAACTAGTTGAGAAAGGTATGACGAAGGATCTGGTTATGAAATGTTGAGGAAGGCTGTGGTTGAGAAATATTGAATAGGGCCATTTGAAAAAATATACATGGAAGTATACCTAGTTGTACTTGCCTAGTTGTGCTGCCAGGATTGAGATTTAGAAGATTTTTTTCTGTTTTAACCTTCACTCAAATGATTATTACGTATTACCTAAGTGTAGTTACAGAATGAGAGCTATACTTGTAGTGTCTGATATGCCTACAAATCTTTGTCATATAATGCTTTGAAATGACTGATATTCAGGTTCCTGTGTCTATTAAGCTCTGTTATACCTACTTTTGAAGCACGCTGTGGAGTCTGCCTCCACTATTTCACTTCTTAGTACATTCCATTTGTTCACTGTTGAGATTAAAAATGTCTTCATATTTCTCTTTCGATCATTCAAGAACGTAGTTTCATCTTGTGTCTCCATGTTTGTGTCCCACCCATTGTAAATAACCTGTCCTTGTCTACCATGTTTATTTCCCTGAGAATTTTATATGTGGTAATCTTGCCTTTCATGATTCTTATCTCTTGCAGTGCGTTGAGACTTAATTCCTTTATTTGTTTATAATACCCTGTAACTCTTTCCTCTCGGCTCTGATAGATATATTTAAAGAAATATTTGATAAATATTTAAGGAAGGCTGTGCTTACCTATTAGTAACTACAGAGAATGATGTTTAGTATTTTATGCTCCTCCTAAGTTTTTTGTCAGGTGTATTTTTAAATCTCTTGATGTTGAAGTTCTGTGTCATATTTGCTTTTAAAGTTTTGGATGGAGGTGGCATTCATGATATCGTCTTTCAGTACATTCCACTTCTTAACCACCTTTCAGAATACACATGAATACTTCTTTGTTTCCTTGATTTGTTTGTGGCTTCAACTTCCATCGATGTCCTCTTGTGCTCTTAATTCAGGCACTGGCCTTACTTCAAACTTGTGTTTGTGAAATGATGTA